TTCCGGGGGCGAATTTTCAGGGGCGAATTTACCGGGGCGAATTTTCGGGGGCGAATCATCCTACAATCGACTCGATAACTAATGACTCAAATAATTGCTAGTGTAGTAAGTACTTTGACGTAATTCTGTATGGTTCAAAACATTGAGAGTTTGACAGTATTTTTTGTTTCGCAAAATGAGTGAACTTAATTTAGAGAATCGTGCGGTTAGAAAATTTCTTAATAAAGGGGGAAATGGTGCGCAAAATTATCTGTAAAAAATTACTCTGGTGTGCGATACTAACGGTCCATTTTAATTTCACGTAAAATATTGGCCGAAAGCGAAACAGTTTCAATGGGGTCGAAACCATCCGAAATCAGAAAAACTGGTTGGGGTAAGAACCTGCAAAAGAAACTGGAAATCTAAAAGTACAATATTTAAGAATATTTGGGCATGAAGAAAAAGGTATCTGTTCGATAGACTTGTATGCCAGAGCAGAAACTTGAGGAGGAAAGAAATTTTTTGTCAGGAGTATTTGGACGCTTTGGCGAACGATAACAGATATTTTTTGCGGATTGGCGAGGAGCCGAGGAACTTGGGTGCTTCACTGAGGTCCTTCCACAAAACAGGAGTCCATGAAATGGACCCACTTCCAAAAAATGCAAAAAAATTGCCTGGAAAAAAAATGGATGCCCACCATTTTGGGACGGTGAGGGCACTTGATAAATACAGAGTGGCTCAATGAAAACGAAACAGACTGAATAACTCGTAAGGAAATAGTTTATGGAAAAAACGCAAAAAAAATTTCGTTAAGCCGCTTGTGAGCAAGAGGGGAATTGAACGTTTGGTCGAGTACACATCATTGAAAAGGGCTCTTAATTTTCTAAACGCGTATGGTTTAATGGTTTAATTTTCAAATTCGAGCGCCCCTTTTGGAAAATAGATACACTTGATTGCAGGGTTCAGGTAACTACAACAAACTATGTAACGTAAGTACGTCGGGTTCACTAAAATAAACCCTTATCAGTATTGTACCGTCAGTATCTAAAAAACGCGAGCTAAAAACCCAAGACAAAACATTGACTGCTGACATGTCAGATTCATCAGTTGCTCATGATAGGGATAGCTTTAGCTGGTTTTACGAGTTTCAATTTGTTAGGATTATTAGGAGGTTTTATTGTGTTAATTTCCCATGGTTTATGTTCTCCAAGGTTGTTTTGTGTAGCTAATATTTCTTATGAAAGTGTACATTCACGTAAAAGCCGAGGTAAAAGCCATTTGAATTATTTGTCATTTGACACCCTGTATCCTTTAAAGGACTCAAATTTGAAAACTAAACCATAGGCGTGTAGGAAATTAAGAGCCCTTTCCAATGATGTGGCACTCGACCCAACGTTCCATTTAAAATTGTTGAAGAGGTGGCCACTCTGCTTAGAGGGTTGACGCCAGGAATGTAAATTTATAAGTAAAAGATGTCCCCCTTCCAATCAAAATCGACGTGTTTTAGGTTTTTTTTCAAAAAACTATTTCTTTACGAGATATTCTGTCTGTTTCGTTTTCGTTATGCTACCCTGTATATACTTAACGAAAGGGACAATGATTAATGGACCATATTAAAGCCCAACTGCATGTTTAAAGAAGGACTTTAAAGCAAAACGACAGAACAAAAATTGCGATGTTGCACGAGAATTGCAGGAGCCATAAGGCTTGTCATATTCAAGTCATTATCGCAAACCATTGTGTTCCAGAATTACCGTATCCACCCTATGGCCCAGATTTATCACATCGCGAACTCTTTTTGTTTAAATATCTAAAAAAATACCGAAAAATTTGTATGATTTCATCGATAGTGAATTAATTAATAACTTCATTAAATGGATAAGTTTTCCTCCTTTTTATAGGGCCATAACTCATAAGAAAAGCGAAACCTAAAATCTATACGTAGCATTTTCTCCGCAATATAAAACACGCTTTCTAAGTATATCTTGTGTATAATTTGTAACCGAGTTGACGTTTTCCAGTCTATAGTTTGATTAATGACATATCCTTTCTGAATAAATCTTGTGTCATTCTACTGATGTAATGTATTGTGTCATAGGATACAATGCCACTTTACGATACAGCAAACTTAATCATATATAAAGAATGCGGTTTTAGTATATACAAAAATACAACTCATATGGATCAGTAATAAGAAATTTATCAGAAAGTAATACTGGTAAAATTAGAATTAAAATGTTATAATTTATGTACCTACCTACATTTTTTTGTATTATTATTGTAATGTTTGTTCTTTAGGTTATGCGACAGATTTTCTTGTTTAAAAGGAATTGCGTGAAGGATAAGCCCACTGAAAGAATATAAATACAAAAATAGCTTCACAAGGTAAATACTTATAGATTAAATGTTATTTTTAGGTTTGTCTATGACGATTGACGAGTTCTGATAAGTTTCAATTATACCGCTTTCGTAAGTTATTATATCGTGAATATAGGGACTTCTTCTAGGCTTATTCGCAATAATTTTATTTTTTACTCATTCATTTAATGATAATGATACTTGGAATAATGCTTATTGATTGTAATGGAACTCTACTTAATTAACATTTTCCCTCCACCCGCAGCCACGCACAATCTACATCGTTTTGAAATCCAATTTGTAGACTTCTATACCATGCTCGACATATCGAATTTTTCAATGTCATTAATCATAATATCGACTTAAATCGTTAATTTTTTGTTATTTGCGACATTACATGCGAAATTAGATCACTCACTGGTAGGCGGGGGACACTTTGTAACCCGAAGGCCCAATCTTCAAATGAGTATGACCTTTGTTTGAAAAGTGATTTTAAAAAAACGGGTCAACAATATTGTTCCTTAACTCATCAAGTATGTATACAAAATATTTCGTGGAATTCTCTCAATTTTTTTTTGAATTTTCAAAAACTAATTTCAGATTCGTGATTGTCATGTTCAAATAACCAAATTTCATCGAAATCAGAATTTTTTTCCTTCTGCGGTAGGAATTTTGAAGAAATTTTTGCAAAATCGAAAAGTATACCCCAAAAACTATTCAAAGACGTCTTTGTAACTCTAATGGTTGTTGAGAAAAAAATTAAAGAAGAAATGCAAATTTCAGCACTTTTTTGGTAGTGGTCCCCAAACGAAGCACATTAGACCCCCGGTTTATTTGGAAAAAGTGCTTGTTCTGATCCCCTCTACGGCCCCTACCATCTAATTTTTTTTACATACTTATATGTAACACCCTGTATAGGTTAAAACTAGCGTATAAACGTATACCATACGTCTGTTGATCGGCCCAATTCATTTTTATGTAGTTTTTCAAATTTTGACAACACCAAAAACAAAAGTTTATTAGTATTGTTAAACGTTAACTATGTAATGAGAAAATTGCGGTGATAAACGTTTACTAATCATCAGACAAAATCTGTCGTTATCTCTAGGCCTAATTATAATTATAAATGGGAGTATCTGCGGTACGTGGGTGAATGCTAAAACTAAGGTAAACTTTCTATTACTTCCACTTAGCTACTATGTAAGTAATTTTATTTGTGATCAAAATTACAATCGCTGGGTCCATTTTAACTGAATACTAGCAGACAAACAGTGATAACTAGAGAGCGGATTTATAAGCTTATAAAATTAAAAAAAAAGCGCTTAGAAAAGCACAACAAAATTAGAAAAAAGTTTTATTTTTATGCAAAAAAGCATAATGTTTCATGAGTACCTAGGTACGTAATATATTTCAATCCTATTCCTTAAACAGTAAGTTAAATTTAAATTGATCATTCTGTTTTGAGGAGGATGCCAATTTCATATGCTTACAGTTTTTGCACATGCTCTGCAAAACATTCTACGGTTGTCGGTTTTTAACTCTGGAAATCCTTGTATCCAATCATTGACCAATCTAGCATTCAGCAATTAACACTTAAAAATGTCATCTAAATGCAATAATGAATACCTACTACTAAAAAAATAGAAGATCAAATATCTGAGACAGTGAGACGTCAGACCTATATGTACACGTCAGCCATATAATGTGTCTGTAGCTTAAAATAACATTATGCCTTGAAGTGCATTCATGCTTAATCCACTTTTTTTAATCGTTAATTAATGGGAAAAATACCATATTACGTTGTGAATTGAATAAAAAGCTTTGAAAAGCATATAAACATTATAATAAGCACAAAATGCCAAAAAAGCAAAATAAGCATAACAAAGTTTTACTATACGATTGCAAATATCAAAACTAGATTACCTATTACTTTGAACAATTCTAACATGCTTACAGTATTCACAAAAAGCATAATACCTAGAAATCCGCTCTCTAGTGATAACTGACCCGGCTGTCCGTCCGTCGCTTCCGTGTTCGCGATTACGGGAAAACGTTTCGAGATTGAACAGCTCTTATTTTGGGCGCGATCGCATGCTTCATACGGATCCAAAGCTCGGACAAAGATCAAAAACGTTCCACTGATGGTAAACAGTAACATGGGTAGAGATAGACGTAAAGAAAAATTTGAGACTCAAAATGTTAAAAACATTATAAAAATAAACATTATAAAAACATTTTAAGTCTTACATTTTTCTTTACGTCTATAATTAATTATGCAAACATATTATTAAGTTCTTCGTCAACAAACTTTTGGTAGAGAGTTTAACCCTGCAGAACTCGCGTCATCTAGTGTCTCACGAGAACTCGCATGTGAGGGTTTTTCTCACCTGCGTTGTAATGCGTTGTACCTTGCTAGATTTTTAAAATATGTATCTTTCGTAATAAGTGGAGACTTATACCATAATATTCCCTTTATTTAACCATCCAGAAACAAAAATACTGTTTATTAGTATACAAAAGAAAATACATTCTTGAAAATAAAATGTGATTCTGTAGCAAATTAGCAGATATAATAAGAGTAGGCAGAAATCGTAAAATGGAATATCCATATATTTAGAAAAAACGTACGTATGTAATGTAAAGGTAAAGTAACTGATAAGAGGTTAATTGGCCGAATCTTCACTTGTAGCAATTTCATCAGCACAGGTTGGACAAAGATATTTTGCATGTTCTGTGCAGATCGCTGTTGTGCAGCGCCCGCAACGTTTTTTAGTTTTGCGATTTTTTCGTCGTGGGCAAAATCCACAAAATCCTTGAGTCTCGTGTGCTACGGCATGGTCGGGTTCAGGTATCTTCAAGGTCTGCTTTATTCGTGTGCGAAGTACCAATGGCAAATATCTTATTGTGGAACGATATACTAGATGCGGCTTTATCAGCTCTTGGGCCAATTCCTTTAGGTATATTCTGCGATCCTGAATAATTTCTGTGTTACTCTTGAATATTATTTGGGAGTTAATAACTCCAATATCCATAATGGTAAAGAATAATCGCAAGGGCCATCTACAACAGAAGCGGGATACAGAGTACAGACTTTTTAGCTCGTCAACAACGTCGACTCCACCCTTAGTTTTATTATAAAAGGTAATGATGTCGGGTTTCAATAAATCACCGGATTCTGGATCGATTGTATCGCCAGAATGAAATGTAGAGAGTGTCAAAACATTTTTTCCCCGCTTTGGTGTGTAGGAGGCAACGACTATCTTGTCGTGGAAAGCAAACATAGTACTCCGCAGTGGTCTATCCTTTGTATTCAAAAAGACAGTTGGCAACTCTCGTTTATTCTTTCTTACCGTTACAACTATAGTTGTCTTCATCTGTAGCATATATTTCGCGAGAGGAATTGACGTAAAATAGTTGTCCATCGTGACGTTTCTTCCAGTGTTTAGAATTGGTTGGGTTATGCGTTTTACGACGGCGCTTGCAGAGTTGTCTAGCTTGAATGGGCCATCGGGCTGTTTTCCAGCATAGACTTCCAAATTATGGGTATAATACATTTTGGAATCTACCAAGGCCCAAATCTTTAAACCGTATTTTGCGGGTTTGTTCGCTATGTACTGTCTAAATTTACAGCGTCCCCTAAAACTCTCTAACATTTCGTCAACTGTGCAGTACTCTCCAATTTGGTAATTATTTTGACACTTCTGTACAAATTCTTCAAATACTTGACGAATCGGTGCCAAATTATCAAACTGCTTCCTGTTCTCTCTGTCATTTATGTCGTCAAACCGTAATGAGCGCAGTAATAGGTGAAACCTCTCCCTGGACATCGTCAGCCTAAAAATTTCTGGAGCCGTCCCATCGTCTGTCCATAGCTCCTTGGTATTGAGATACTGAGCCTTCTTGACTCCGGCCAAATATAAAAGTCCAAATAGGGCATATATTTCTGTAGTATCTGTCCTTCGACAGTCTCTCTCCCTCTGGTAATTTGGCCGTAGTTTATCAAGGTAGATGTTTGTACAATTTACAACATGCTCTACGGTTTGCAGTGGGAAAAACAACTCCCAACATTCCCTTATTGACTTTGCGTTCTTTGCAACTGCCTTTACACCAGGTAAATGAATAACTATATTTTGTTTAGCTGTTCGACGGTTAGGGCGAGGAGGATGAGCTATCCAACGCGTTGCATTGTCCTTACCGACATAACAAAGATCTCTATTATCATAATCTTCATCATCCGACTGTTCCGATTCCGTGTCATGGTCACTGTGCTCGCTCTCCGCGTCACTAAGGATGTCCAAGCGGTCTTGGTCGTCTTCCAAATCCTCTAATTGTGCCTCTTGCGTGGTCCACGTGGGAGGTGCAAAATTTTTCCGCTCGAATTCAAGTCGTCCCAATTCGGCAAGCATTCTTCCACGACTCATGTTTTCTACTAAAAGCGAAAATTCTGGAGTGACACTGTCTACGGTAAACTTGGGGACATACATACCAAAAGCCACCTACACTTATACTGAAATAGTAACCATAAAATACAACCTACGAAGGCACTCGCGTAGTGAGAAAACTGCTCACGGCACACAACACCGAGAAAATATTGAAGCGACGAAAGCACTCGCGCAGTGAGAAAAATGCTCACAGCACCTGCAGCGATGCAACAACAATCACCTACTAACGCATTGTTGTCAACGGCATGCAAATACAGATTATCATCCTACAGCATAGATATACAAACTCAGCTAGAAGGGACACTAGGACGATATCTGCACCAGCGGCAAAATTATGGGCAAATTGCTAAAACTGTGAGAGAAACGCTCATGCCGCGAGTGCTCCAGGGTTAAATATCTATGTCTTCTATTTCAAACGATGACGTATGTGCCAATAAGAGATCAAACTGTGTCAACCTCGTTACTTGTTTGTGAATTTAAATGTGGAAACGTCGGAAAATTAGGTCTATCTATTTGGCGAAAACTTAAGCTTGAGTGACTTTATGAGACGTATCCATCAATAGATCTGGAAAAGTTCAGTCATAAGCAAGCGACGTAATAATTCCGTATAACTTATTATATCCTGAATGTATTAAATATTTATTTTCTATTAACAGTATGAAAATTACATTGTTTGTTTTTGTTTCAGGTAAGTAAAGCAAAATTATTATGGACGAACTGCACTGCGTTGGTAAGTGACATTTCAACGTACTTTTCAGTATTGCTATGCGAACATACAATTTGCAAATTTAGAGGGAATGCCTCTTGATTTTTATTTTAATTTAGTTACACAACAAGCTGCAACTGTAACGATGCAGCTTTGACATTTTTATAATTTTGTTACGATTACTTAATTAATTACTAATTATCGAGTGCAGGTATGTACTTATGTGTAAAGTGCATTGTTGTTTCGTCACTTAAATTTTTTTCATTGGAATAAATGAAAAAAAAATAAGTTGTGGGTTTTAGGTTTGTCGACCGAACCCTTTGTAAGATCTCTCCCAAATTCTCATGCTGTTTTCAAAGGTTTTTCCCACAACAATGATGTTGCCCAGGTACACTAAACAAGTCTTCTACGTTTTAGCACATTTTCCATGAGACGTTCACACGTGGCGGGTGCATTACACGATCCAAACGACATTACTGTAAAATGCCACAATCCCAATCCGATCGTAAATGCCGTCCTTTCCCGAACTTCTGGAGCCATTTCCACTTGCCAATAACCGCTTTTTAAATCCAAAGTCGAGAAAAACCTGGGGCCGGATAGCGTGTCAACCGCGTTGTCAATTTGGTGAAGGTGGATAGCTTCCTTTTTTAGTCATTCTATGTCTCTTATAATCTTTTCCACTTCCTCCCGTTTTGCTAGCCGAAGACGTCTAGGTGAGTGTCGAATAGGTTGTGCATTCTCGGTGTTTATCTTATGCTGCACCAAATTAGTTCTTCCATTGGATTCTCTCTCCCCGTCGTATCAAATACATGTTTATATCCTTAATGAAGCTATAAAGCTTAATCTTTTGTTGTCTTGTGAGAAAGGTAGAGTTTATTGCGATTTGGACTGCCAATTCTTTACACGTTTCATTGACCGAATTGCTCGTATTCACCGGCCACTGCACTAACTTCCCAGGTAACGCACGACACAGTTGAACATTGTCCGAGAACGGTCCCTTTCCGTAAGGTCACCGGATATAAAAGTTGACATTCATCAAACGAACAGGAACTGATATTTTCCGGAATATTTCTCACAAACTAAAATTCCTCGACCAGATTTTAAATCATCATTACCGCAATCCGAAAACAAAATACTGCTTTCACTGTATTTACCGGCCAGTGGTGTCATGACAGTGGTTTCAATTCGATCTCGTTACGTAGTATCACTCGCAAGAAACCGCACTCAAGTGAATGAATTACCAGTTCCTCATTGTTGAGATGAAAAACTCCTTCATTTAAATACACCTTGAACTTGTATTTCCTCATGACGTCCATTCCCAAAACCGTTTTCAATATCGGCTACCAAAACAGTAACTTCGATACAGGAATCTCCAAACGTAATCCTCACAGACGCCCTTCGACATCCATTCTGGAAATTCTAACAACGGAGATGTTTCTTTGTTACCATAGCCTTGACAATTTGAACTTCAGCAGCCAATGCCGTCAACAACTTGTTTTGGACGGTGTCCTCTTCTTCTACAGCTCTAAGGCTACTGATTTTCTTCATCGTAGTTTTGTTAACCTTCTGAATCCTATTTTTAAGTTGAGTACGATAAACTTCCGCCAGGTCAGAGTGGCTGTAGGTAATGACCGTCCTCTTTACTAGTTCCGTGTAGTTAAAAACGTTGTTCGGGAGGTAAGCTTTGTAACCCAACGGTTCCCCTCGTAGAGCAACAGTAAGGGCCATTGCCTTTTGCGAATTCGACCATGTGTTCGCATTTGTTGCCGCTCCAAACTGGATAAAATAATATTCACTTCTATAACTTTTTTCCATTATTCTGTTAATTTCTTCTTCCATTCTCCTGTAATTCCCTGCCATTTGTCGAGAAACTTGTTCGAGATTTTCCATTTCCGACGCATACTCCGAGGGATTGCCCCCTTCCTTAATCAAGTGCGACTTCAGGTCTCTTAGGGAGAACAATCTTCACACCTTTCGTATAAAGGGATCTTTCCTAAAGTTGAACACGAAGTTCGGCAACTTTCAATTCCATTAATTTTGTCATTATCTTGTTTCTAATTAAACCCGACACCTGACACCAATGTAATGGTTTTGCAAACACTCTAATTGTTATAAAACAGAAAACGAACAGATTAAAAAGCTTTCTAATGTCACCGTTTGTCCACACGGTCACACACTTGATCGTTACAATCTAACTACTTACTATACTGCATTCATTATAAGAAGGTAGTAGATGGCGCTGTGTTTGAAGATAAACACACACAGGAAAAATATAAAACGGCACCAAATTATTGTAAAGTAGAATATTTAGCACTGCGAACAGAAATAAATCTTTGACAATAATAACTAATGACACTTCGGCAGTTTAGTTGGCAACATAAACTCCCACCTTACAAAATTCACCAGTCGTTTTATGTTTCATTGTAATACTGACTCGTGTTTTATCCAATCACAGTGAAGGTCAAAGCTTCCCTATGCTTTCTACCGCTACCTTCTTAAAATGAATACAGTATAGAGCTGTTCATATTTTAAAATTTATTGCTCAATGTGTTCTTGTGAATGAATTAGCTGTTTTGAACCTACCCACGATAAAAGTGGGATTTTCGCCGAAATGGAATCGGCTATTCTCCAGCCATCGATTGTCACCTAACAAATTAGTCGGGAAGATAACAAATTGCCAATGCCAGTCGCGTTACGTTAGCCAATCACAAAAACAAAAAAATTGCTGTGACTACCACACTACATATACCACCCGCATACCTCAACATGAGCCATTCTGCCCAAAAGCTTTTCAGCTCGTCCTTTTATATCTAAGAATGTGTCATGTGTGTACCAAATTTGGTTCCAATCGGTTCAGCCGTTCAGCCGGAAATGAGAGTACAGACAGACAGACCGACTGACATTATCGATATTTTGTTTGATTCGGATTCCTGGTACTTCAAAACCTGTATTTCCGTAAAATAAGCTGGAGGATCATTTTTTACCCATTCACGTGACTTGCGTAACGCATATTAGGGATTTCAATGTAAAATTCATAACATGCGATTATTGGCTCCCCAAATTATTTTAGAGCAAAAATGTATTAAGGTTTTTTGTAGAAAAAAATTTTTTACGTCAATCAACCGTATTATTCAATTTTTTGCATAATAAAGACGGAAAATTGGAAAAATAAAACTCCCATCTTTTTCAATAATCTGTGATGCCATGGAATTTTATAATACAAAAACTACGCCAATATCCGTTATGCCATGGAATGTCGGCTATAAAACAAATCAAATTCTATCAAAAAGTATTATATCTAAAACAGCAAATTCAACATAAAGAAAGACCAAATTACTAAAAACGGTTTCCTAATATAACAATTTAAGTAAATGTTCGAATAAGTGACCATTAACTGCAAGTCGATCATAATAGTTATTTACATTATTAGTGCGGGAACAGTTATTTTGAAGATGAGCGCGAAGTTTGGCGGCGCGAGTGCGCAAGGCGCACGAGCGACGCATGTCGCGCGAATCAAGCAACATTATAATTCTTTGGAAAAAATCAAGTCCTCTATGCCGGTAAAGTAGAAATCTAGACATTTAAAATGTCAATTTATTGTTCAAAACTTCTGGTTTAAGCTTATTTTTGCCCTTGTACTACAGGGAATGATGTAAAGTGTATTTATATTTTCTTTTTTACTCTTCCATCATATTACTTTTTAGTTTATGATTCGCACTAAATAGCTAATTTCGTTGAATTTTTAGGCACTAGTGCGCGAAAGTAGATAGTCAATTGTAAAATTGACTTTCCCGACGTTCGTGTTTTATTGGGAAAACGCGATTTAGAACGAAGGAGTGCAAAAAATCCATTTCGAACTGCTGCTAATTGATAACTGGGTATCTTTTTGTTTTAGAAAATTCCATGCCATCGCAGATTATTGAAAAAGACGCGGGTTTTATTATTCCAATTTTCCGTCTTTATATGAAAAATATTGAAAACTAATACGGTTGATTGGCGTAAAAATTTTTTTTCTACAATAAACTTTAATACATGTTTGCTCTAAAATAATTTGGGGAGCCAATAATCGCATGTTATGAATTTTACATTGTAATCCCTATGATGCGTTACGCAAGTCACCACCCTGTATAAACAGAAACCCGACAGAAAGGGGACACTCGTGGTAGAATTGTTTTCCTGATCCTAAGTAATTCCTTCCTGTTTCCTGGTCAGACGTTAGCGATTGTAAATCGCGCGCTGACACCCTCCCTGCTGAGAA